AATGGACAATATATGATGGTATATCAATATGCCAATAAAGGAAATCTTCATGAATTTTTAACTAAATACTTTAGAGATCTTGTATGGCATAAAAAATTAGAGCAACTTGCGTATATATCTTATGATTTATCTCGAATTCATAAAGCAAATTTTATTCATAATGACTTTCATAGTGGTAATATTTTACTGAACCAAAATATTGATGGAAATATAATATCATACATTACGGATCTTGGATTATCTAGAAAACAAGATGATGATGCTTCAAAAGAAGATGTTTATGGAGTCATGCCATATGTTGCACCTGAGATTCTTTTGGGTCATCAACACACACAAGAGGCAGATATTTATGGCTTGGGTGTTATTATGGCAGAAGTATCAACCGGAAAAAGGCCTTATGATGGATATGATCTTGATACTAAGCTTGTAATAAAAATTTGCAAAGGATTTCGTCCTGAATTTGCTGAAGGAACACCTTATTGTTACATTGAATTAGCTAAACAATGCATGGATTCAAATTCACAAAATCGGCCTACTGCTGAACATGTTTATTCAAAAATTAATCAATGGAAAATAATTTTAGAATCAGAAAAGTTAACAGATGAAGAAGTCAATATAAAAAAGAAATTCAATGATGCTGATAGTATAATCAAAGAAATATCAATGAAATCACTAAAATCTTTATCAGCGAATCAAAATAAATATTATAGTACACGAATCGATGTACAAAATATAACCAATAGGCTTAAAGGTACCAACAGGACTGAAATTACATTACATTACTTATATGTATGATGTTTTACAATTAAGTATGATATTGATTTATTGTTTCATTAGGATCTAGTCAATCTAGTCAGTTTTATTCGGGTTCAACGGTTGTTTCCTTAACTAGCGATTTATTACGTTAGTATAATTTGCAATATTTCGATTGTTTTAAAAAAAAAATTTATTAATACTATTTTTTTAAAATTTAGAACCAACTCCAATGCAAACACCAAAGTCAGAATTTTCTAACTTTTCTTTAAATGAAGAAAAATCACCTAAGAACTTTGAAGGTATCAACAGTACTGAATTTACCTTACATTGCTTAGACGTTTGATGATAATATTAATTTATTGTTTATTAGGATCTAGTCAATCTAGTCAACGTAACCAGTTTTATTCAGGTTCAACGCTTGTACTCTCAACTAGCGATTTATCACGTTAGTATATTTGTATAATCTGTAATGTTTTTTTTTTTTTTTAAAAAAAAAAACAACATTTTACTAATGTTATTTTTTTAATTTAGAATTGATCCCAACGCCAAAGTCGGAACATTTTAAATTTTCTTCAGATGAAGAAAAATCAACAAAAAACTTTAAAGGTACAAACAGGACTGAAATTACTTTACATTTGTATAATTTGCAATATTTGATTGATTTAAAAAAAATTTTTAACCAACGTTTTTATAAATTTAGAATTAACCCCAAAGTCGGAATATTTTAAATTTTCTTCAGATGAAAAAAATCAACTATCGAGTGATCAAAAAGACTAACATTCTCCAATTATGTCACTTTAAATGTTTGTAAATTTAAAAATTATATATAACCATTTCACAATTTGATAAAGATTTATAGGTTTATGCTTTATTACATAAATTCAATATATCGTTTAAACCTAGTAACTTTTTTTTTTTTTTTGATAATTAAAATTATTTTCTGGGAATTTTTTTATTAGTTAAATTGTTTATTTAAATCACAAAGTATATTTATGAAACTATTAAATAAAATTTTTGTAAATACAGTCTAACCTCCATATAGTCACACTACATTAGATTGTTGATGAATAGTAGAAATATGAGTTGTCTTTCCAGGGTAAAAGTTTTGAAGAAAAGATTTGATAAAATTTAAAACTTGTATTCCAAGAGGGGTTAGAAATTGGGTTTGGTTTTGAGCTTCTGTATTAATTGGAAATGCTTGAAACCAGTTAAGAGTTTCACTAGAAAGCTGATGATAAGGAAATCTTTGTTAAGTCATAGTTAGCTTTAAATATAGATAATAAAAAAAAACAGAAAATTTAATAAAATAATATAGATAATTTGAAAATAAAACTTGATGGCATTTTGGTTATGTGATCAAAGTCAGATGATTTTAAATTCATTAGAATTGTCTTGAAGAGAGGATTGTTTTGGTAGCTAAATCATCTAGATTGGTTAAGTAGATCAAAAGTTATTGAATTTTAAAGATTTTGCAATAATAATAAATATAATTGTTAATATATATAAAATATAAATAAATATAAAAATATAAATAAGGAGAACTCTCACTGTCTATCATTCATACACAAACTTTCTCCAATTTAATTAATTAAAAATAGTTTATAACTCTTTTCTTTACTAAGTTAATCTTAGTTTTGTTATTAAATAAACTTGTTTTTCATACAAAAATATATAAATACTTAAGTATAATATTAGCTTTAAATCTTTCAAACTCATCAAAAAATGACCCTTTGGCCTTTTTTCTTAAAAATCATAAATAACTTAAAAACTGCTTCTAAACCTTTGTTCCAAGCTTAAAAAAACTTAAAGAGCTCACTGTTTTCATTATAACAAGCTATAGCTCAAGCTTGTAAACCCAAAACTGACAAAGCTACATCTAAAAAGCTCCAAACTCCCATTACTTTTTTTTTTTTTTTTTTGTCTTTTGCCCCCTAAAAAACACAGATACGTTTTTCATGTAACTCTCTACTGTGTAACCCATATTGCCTAGGCCTCAAATCTTAGTAGTTTATCTCCAATTACACCAACTATATTTAATTTTCTTTTACTTTAGTACAAGATTAAAACCTTAACAAATTTAGTTTTATTAAATTTAAATGAAGTAATCTTTAGCACTAACCAAATTAACATAACGCACATACCTGTAGCACATGAAGATCAGACCCATAATTACCTAGCACTCTGTAATTATTTGTCATACCCTATACTTATTTGTTATACCCAGTGTTTATTTGCACATTTTTATAATTATCTGTCACACTTTATAATTATTTGTCACACTCTAGATACACTTTAACAGATCTTATTTACTGATTTCTCTAACCAACTATGCCTACACTAACAAACCAAGAACTTGACACCCTTTATCTTGATCACTTTTATTAAAATAATACTAGAACTTATAAAGTTGCAATATACAAAAATAAGCCAGAAATCACTAAAGCAATCTCTAAGAGCTTTAGACCCACAGCTTGTTTTAACAAAGACTTTCGCAACTACCAAAAAGTTACACACTTCTTCCCTGCCCCACTCTCAACTGCTACAATTACCTGTCTCTGCAAAAAATATCACACTAAATTTATAGCCAAGGATGACAAAATTTATGACTTTAATACAAATATAAATGCTACAATGTCAAGTATACAAACCAAAAAGCTTATACAAAAACTCAAAAACACAACTCAATCAATTCCACAATCTTCAATTTCACAACAACAAATATACCCTCAATTCCACAATCTCTAATTTCACAATAACAAATATACCAAACACACCATTACCACTCTTTCATACTTATACTTGCTTAAACTGCAACCAAGTTATTAATTTCAAATCAATCAACAATTATTACTTATCTCAAGGTGACTCAAGGATCTACTAGGCATTTTTTTTCTTATAAACTACGATATAGCACCTACAAAGATCAAACAAATAAAAGTAGATAGTTAGTGCAAGATCTAAAATTTTTAATTTTAGTTTCTGTTATTCTGAACAAAAAACATAGAAAGCTATTAGCTTCAATCAAATATAGTGAAAACTATTATTACTCAAGCTGTATTACTAATACCTCTTCCTCTATCTCCTATATCTCTAGTCCATCCAATAATACTATTAGACAATGCATGGAACAACTATCAAAATTCTTGAATAATGATACAGACAACAATCTAACTACATCCCACATATCTCTATATCCACAACAGCAAAAACTCACATAGTCAACCAACCAACCACAATCTAAAACCTCTTCTTCTTCATTTAAACAACAAACAATAGCTCTATCTTCAACATCTAGTGCTATTAACAACTTCTTTCAACAAACTATATTAACCCCCAAACCTCAACCAAATCCTCTTAATAATTTTTTCCCTCTTACTCCTACGCAAAACCCCTACTACAAACACCTTCAATACAAATATAGAAATTGACCAACCTATTATCTTCCAGGAACCCTCCGCCACTAATAAATTCTTCACAAATCACAACACTATCAAATCTTTAAACTCAAATACAACCAAATCTCCTAACAATACTTACTCTTCTGCAACAGATACTCAATCACCAAATCCAAATACATTCAAATCTTCTAATAATACCTACTCTTCTACAACTAAAACCAAAGGCAAAAAAAGCAATAACAAATCCAATAACCCAATTAATACACCCCAATCTAATGCCCAACCTATACTTAAATTCAATCCCAAACCAAAATCTAATCCCTCTTTCGATTGGCTATTTAGCTTCTCTATTACCCAAGAGATGAAACCTAACAAAAAATTCTAAACTAAGCTCTCTTATCACTATTTGGGTTTCTAAAATCTCACCTTTATAATTTCTTTCCTAAAAGAGGAATTAAACTTGCAAAATATAATTAACCAACCTACAAAGCCTTCTTTAAACATCTTCTCTGCTTTATGGCTAGCTTCTGACCACAATTCCTTACAGAAATCATTTTTGATTACAATTCTAACATTGATCCCAATGCCACTATTCCCTTTAGCTACCTGAAATCTATACTCAAAACAATTAACTTACAATTCACCACAGTTCTTTTTACTAAACTAAACTACAAAGAAATATTTGCTTCTCCAGTTACTGTTTCACTCTACAAAGCTCAGAACTGTCTACAACTTTGTTTAAATATTGCATGACTACATATTTATCTTTCTAATAATTACCAAACTATCAACTACAAAAAGTTTGCAAAAAACTTTGACTTCAGACCTAAACACCCCAAAGTTGATGAAGATAAACTCTACTTTGATATTAGATCTGATTCACAATTTAATATTCATCTCTTATTTAACATCACTAAGACTCTTTTCTTATATAATTACTACACTCTACCCTGGCCAACTCTTTAGATACTTACAAAGAGTGGTTTAACAAATTCTTTCCAATTTATGCTCACCAATTTGAACCCCACCTAATGAAAAAAAATCATACCTACTTCTCAAAAACAAAATCTGATGCCAATTCATACTTAAACTCTGTAGCCTTCTACCACCAAACTTTGAATTCCAAGAACCTCACAAACCACTCTAACATCAATATAAAGCCACAAAAGCTACAAAATTCTACATGCTAACTTGCAACAACCAAGACTATAAATACTGTAATAAAAAATCTTTTTACAACAAAGACCAACTATACAAAGATATTCTTGAGAAATCCTACTCTTCTATCCCAAAAAGAAATCTGAAATCCTTAAAGAACTCTATCTCAATCTATCTATTTTTTTTATTAATAGAAAACATGAAGCTACTCTTAAAACAACCATACCTACCAAGCTACTTGAAGATTTAGCAAAACAGATAGAAGAGAAAGCCTGCAAACTTAATAACATTATCTCAAGGCCAAACTGTCACAGAGTTTTTTTCTACAAATACTTAGCCCTTTATTACCAAACTGCACTAGAGAATTATAATATCTCAAACAACTCCAAACAAGATGCTATTAAACAAGCCACACACTCTATTGTTGATATGCACTTCCTTGCCAGAATTAAAATCTACTTCAACTATATCAAAAATCAATTTTACATCTTTTCAAAACAATCAAACATTACAAAGAAACTGCTTATCTTGAAGCAAACAAAATACTAAAGAAAAAATTCAATATCAACTTTCAACACATTACTGATCTAGAATTATTATTTCTAGATCAGTCTTTTCTGTAAACTTGTCTTTTACAAATAACATAGATTCAGCCACCATCTTATTAAAAGATATACACACTGTGGTTAATAAGGAAAATGATGTAAATAGGCAGGTGAACAAGCCTATTTACCTAGAATAGGTAGACAAACACAGTTCTCTAATATATAACCAGAGTATTGCTACTTCTTGCAGAACTGTGAGAGCTGCATATATAGTAAGCACCTTTGTAAAAGACAAATCTAAAACATTACTTCTAATATCTTTAGAATCCTGTGACTCTTAACCTGCTTTAACAAATTTCTTAAATACCACAAACTCCTACTTCTTTCATCCTTCAAACAATCAACTTCTTCCTTCTCCATCTAATCAAATATAGCCTTTAGGATAATTTACAAAATGAACTTGTAATTTTTATTAAATATGATTATAGTGAAGCTTATATATATACTACACAAGAAGATTGCCCTCTCCCTGATCATATCATTATACCCTACCAAAGTGCCATTTTTGCAAACCCTCACACTCCTTTAAAATCATATACACCACACTCTCCTCTTTTCACTTCTTTCATATCTCCTTCTAACTCTTCTAGCCTTTCTTACTCTTCTATAATTCTTTCTACATGTATACATAATATTCGAGCTCTAATCAAAACCTCAAATAACAAGTATAGGAGCACTATTGCCTATCCAATAATTTAGATATTATCTGTCTTACCGAAACCAAACTAGCTAGCAACAACTTCACCTCTAAACATCTTATTACTCCTTTCAAAGCTGGCACCACAATCATAATATACAACTTCTTAATCCCACATATTTACAACATCGCTACCTTTCTTGGCTATGCTATCTTTATTGATCTATTTTTTAAACATGACTTTAAATTTTATATTATCTCTACCTACCTTCTCTGAAACAATGCCTCTACTTGACTTGAAACCCAAAATACTATTATTAAATAGATACAAGATGCCTAAACTCTCAATCTGCTCTCTATTGTACTTGAAGACTTTAATGCTTCAACTGACAATATTCACTCCTCATCTATCAAATACAAACTCCTTTAATTCTTTAATTACAACTTGCTACCTATCCTATTCCATCTCAACTTCTCTATTATTTCACTCAACTAATCCTTCAACCTAAACATTCTCTCTTTACTACATACATATCAACTCATTATTCTCTGGATCACTAATACTAATACTGAGTGAAAAAAACTTTTTCATATCCACAATTTAAAGAATATTAAAGAAATCTAACAACAAATTTCAAACTTCATTGACAAAATATACTCCAAACTACAAACTAATCCTACTTCAATGATTAACAGCATTCTCAACCAACACAAAGACCCTGTCAAGTTTAACAATATATAGCTTAACAATGATATTATTACTGACCCTCCTACTATCAAATCCTATATTCAACAACACTTTGATAATTGGATACATTTTGTCATATTAACATCAACTTATTTGACTCCCAATGGCAATCTAATATAATCCAAAAACCAATATCAACCCCACCTAATACTCCACTACCCTCTTATTCTTTACTGAAGAAGAAATTATAGCTATTATTAGCCAGCTTTCTAATAACAAAGCTTGCAGCCCATCGGGCATTAGCTATAAAATGTTCAAACATGCGGGCCATATATTTATTATCTCAATAACGGCACTTTTTAATTGCTGTCTCTTCTCTAAACTATTTCTAAACAATGAAAAAAAGGCCGCATCTTTTCTATATCCAAAAAACATATTTTTGATAACAATCTTTGTAATACCAGACCTATTAGCTTGATCAAACATAAAAAAGCTATATACTAAACTTCTCACTAACTACCTCAATCTCACCTTTTCTCAACAAAATATCTTATCACCCTTTAACTTTGTTGTACTTCTTGGCAACTCAAATTCCATCTCTATTTACATTTTTAACAATATTATCAAGGATGCTAACTATAATTCTAACCAACTTTGCCTCTTTTCTCAAGACATAAGTAAGGCCTATAACTCTGTTAACTTTGAACTATTTCAAAAATCACTACATCATATTTAAATGCCCAGCAATTTATTAACATTTTAACTAATTTACTATTCGATTGTACTAATCATGTTATTACAAATTTTGGGCTTACCAATTTTTACTCTATTAAAAATAGTATTAACCAAAGAAAACAATTATACTCCTTTTCTAAAGAATCTACTATAACTCTCTTATATTATATATCTCCTCACATTTTTCAGGCTATACACTTTCTTCTTTCTGACAAACTAGTCTTATTAATCCTTCTTCTAACCACCTTAGTACCTCCATATCTATTCTTGCCTACATAGATGACACTCTATAGATTGCTTAATCCAAATTACAACTAGAATAAATTACTAGTATTACTTCCTCCTTCTATTTAATAGCTGATATCCAAGTCAACCCCACTAAATCTATATTTATTACTAAACAAAGCTCTGATGATATCACATTTCTCAACTCTACTCTTCATTCCATTCCACCCCAGCAACCTTTTAAATTCTTAGGTTGCTGGTTTACTCTCAACAACAAACAAACTTCACAAATTAAACTCATTCAAGATGAAGCTATTCAGCTTGCTAATATTACTGGTACTAAAAATATAACTGACAAACAAATAATCTATATTATTAATACCATTATTATTCAAACTATCAAATATTGACTTCACAATATCATAATTTCTCTATCTATATGCAAAATAAAATTCTTGAAAAATACCTTACTATAGCTAAGCACAAAGCACACCTTTCTCGCT